GTGACGAGTGTTGTCCAACGATGTTGCGATTTCCTGAAGAAAGAATTTGTTCAGCTTCGATTCGATCTGCAAAATTACTGTCTGCTCTGCACGGTTGCCCATAGATACGGAATGAAAGATCTGCAAGAGGCAGCAGAGAGCAAAATGGCATTAAAGTTTAAGGATACCTGTGAAAACGAAGAATTCTTGTCGATTATTGAACCAGACCAGTTAGTCAGCCTGCTCAGCCGAGATGACCTCTGTGCACCTTCCGAGACGTTCATCTTTAAATCCGTGATGCAGTGGATTAAACACAAGAAGGAAGAGAGGATGGCAGTTGCAGCCAAAGTTATTGGAGCTGTTCGTCTGGGACTGGTGGACATCAGAGTTGTGATTGAAGAACTGAATACAGAAGAGATGCAGAGAGATCCTGAGATTCACAGGCAGCTACACGAGACATCTTTGTATAACAACATGCCTTCTTGTAGTTCGAAGTTTGCGGAGGAAAGATCTAAACCGAGATCCGCGAGCCAAGTAAGTAGATGGTTTTGGTTTATGATTTGCCATTAATCTACTTAAAATTATTTACCTAAGTGTCAATTGTTAGGTAACAACCTTAAGCTTCTGTAGCAGTTATATTGATCGAACATAAACATATGTGGTGCAGATTAAAGTATTATTATAATAAATTGACAACGGTAATGAACTTGTTGAATTTTGTCGTTGTAGTTTCTATCCCTAGACGTTCAGCACACGGGTGGTTAGAAATCAATGCTTAAGCATCATATTTTTTGCTCATTTTAGGCTCTGGTTGCAATTGTGCCTCAAGCTCAAATGAAATATTTTGATGTCGAAAACAAAACATGGAAAACTTTATCTGCAACATTACCGTCGATCAAGGCAACCCGTTGCTATTCTGCGGTCTCCGTCGGGAACATCGCATTTGTTGCTGGCGTAGCATCAAATAATAGCAATTGCCTTTACCAATACGACACAGAAAACAATATATGGAAAGTGGAGCCACTTTCGTCCGGTGGACGGATTGACAATTCAGTATGTATTGTAGACGACTACATCTATGTAATCAGCTCTGATTCAGATCAGGTTCCTCAAAGATACAACATGGCTAAAATGTTATGGCAGAGTATTTCAAAACCAAGTAAAACAGGCTATTACACTGTAGCCTGCAATAATTTGGTTGTAGTTTATCCAAAAGTGTTTGTCCTTTATAGCAATCCGTGGCCCAATTCTGCAGGACAATATCTTCCATCAGTGCTACAATGTTTCGATCCAACTAAAAATGAATGGGAACAAAAGGCAACAACTTGCCATCCTCACTTTAGATCCAGTCTTCTTGTAGTCAACGGCAAAATTTTTCTAGCTGGGGGCTTTCTTGCAAATAATACCGATAGCAAAGGATGCCCATATGGCAACCCTGCTCCTATTGAAATTTATAACGAAGAAACCAACACTTGGTCTGTTGTTGAGCAAAAACATATTCCCGCTAACAATCTCAATGCTGCGGAAATAGAAGGGAGGGTATACTTCATCATAAATAAATTCCCAATTGACAGTGGAATTAGAATTTCACCAGGGGAGCTGTATCCCGTTCCGCTGGGTGAGTGGGAAAATTTAGGCAACATTGACAAATCCGCAGCCCTTTGCTATTTGCCTTTAAAGAGAGAATTCCTGAAAACTGATTGAGGATATTCATTCACCCTTGATAGCTGAAAGGAACTAAAAGATAAGGAGCAATAAATGAGTAGAGATGAACAGCTGCTGTATTGTAATAAGCATATACAGAAAACTAGTTGGTTAGTGTTACTTGTAGTTTCAAGTGATCTAACTTTAAAACAGTTTCAATCATGTTAGTGTCCAAACTTAAGTCTAAGAGTGGGAGTGAACCTTAAAAACGTTTCGAGTACAGTCCATGTAAATCATAAGAATTAATAACTGGACAAAAAATATGAAGGTGTAAAATTAATGCCAAAATTTTTAATTGTAGAAATTGTAGGATGTTTTAGAAAGTTCTTACAAACCAAATTGAAGGAGTAATTTGAATATATCAACAAAGTTGAAATGGTAAATTGTTGATGTATTCAAATTATTTCGTTACCCCCACCGACGCAGCCCCAAACAGTTTCTTTAGAAACCATCAACCTTTATTCAAATTGAAGGAATTTTTGATCTTTGAGTTTCGTCCTTAGTTTTCCTGGTAGAGTCAACTGCAAATGCGGTCTGTACATCGGTTTATTTCAATTTGATGTAAGGTAGAGTTCGTGATATTTAAGGACTTATATAGAACCTTAAATCTTATATCCAACCTTGCAGAGCCCTTTTTAGGACTTTTTACCTCACATAAAATGGTTATTTTTTTTTCTTTTAAATAAACGACTTCAAAGGATGCAATAAAAATTACACAGAAGTTAATTTCAACTTGTCCTCTAACCCATGACAATGCGGATTTTTTCCTTTCTAGAATTCTCTGAATCATTTCTACATCTCTGCAACTGGAGTTACACCGTATATGGTTCTCAATGCCAATCTGCCATTTCTGCACGTATTGGGGTTTATTTGCAGTCCCCTGCCTAAGTCGTAAATGTGCGCTGAAAATGAAAGATGATCATTAGCTTCAATGACCGCTTGAGTGGTCAGACATGAGGGTTTGAGTTGCAAGCGTGATCGATCACGCAAGGAGCCTAAGCTTAATCAGTTCCTAAAAATGCGACATCGACCCTAAGAAATTCGAAAGATTAAAAAGTTTCATTTAGAGACAAGAGGGGATCAATTCTCTCTTGATAAGGCACCATGAATAGAGACATCGCTACGAGCATGCCCTGTTGGTTCTCTTTATAATTTTTTTTTTAATAATTATCTTTATTTAGCAATAATTTCCATAAAATCCCTACAATACAAAATATTAACAGCGTAAAAAACGATCCAAAATAACTCACTTTCGGCTCACATCTACTCCTTTTTTTTAAAGTCAAAGCGTCTGGAAAACTATAAATAACGGAGTCAAATCTGAACAGATTCAAATTCTGATAAGTAAAAGCATATCTAAAGAGAAAGGTGAATGGCAAATTTAGAACCCTATATACAAGGCTGCTAAAATCATTAAAGAATGTCAATGGCTCCGTCGGCAGCTGCGATTTCAACGTCACAATTATTATAGTCATACGCAGCGCGGCGCTTCACCCGCGATCCTCGAAGGCAAACTAAGGCCGACCGAAGGAGGGCAAAGGATGTCTTTGCTCGGATCCAGGAAATTGTTTGCGAATATCGTTCCCCTTTCTTGACGGGTATCAGCTCAACATCCAACACTCTCCTTGAGTACAGCCGCTTCTTGTCGTTTTCATGGCTACGATAAATCTGCTGTGTTTCCAGCTGGTCCTTGTAAGACTCTGCATTAGGGTGGCAAACCCTCACATCGAAGAATGCCGAGCTCTGGGGATCCCAGAAGCCACGCGCCCGAACGTCCAATCTTGCGTCTTGTGTTCTATTAGACCCTCTGCTAAGTTGTTCGTCTTGGATAACTGGCTCGACCTCGACACACACTATATTCAAAAGATCGACCTCGAGGTCTCTCAACTCATTATGCCGTTGGATAACAAAGCCCCCTCGTTTGCAAATCATTGCGTGGTCTACTGTGAAGTTTTCCCCACACGCACACACTGATGGAATGTCATCGAACGGCCAATTGTAGCGTAATTTAACAGCATCCCGAAACTCTCTCTTGTTGAGGTTGAAACCATGTTCTTGTGAAGGGGAAGAACTGTGAGCCATATAGAGGAGCCTTTTTCTTGCGCTAGTTCTAGAGCTCGCTTGGTCTTCCGTGAAACAATTTGTTTTAGATTATCTGCAATCTCTGAAAGTTCTTCAGCTTTTCCATGTTTGACAGCCTGACGCCCTGACGCCCCCTCACTTTATAATTCTTTCATCTAAGCGAAGAGATTTTCGGAACTTTCACCAATTAGGCGATGGCTTGCTTGGGTACTGGGCGAAAAATATAAAATTTGAGAATTTGTTTGCATCCATTTGTTGATTTTTTATCTCATAGCCTTGTGTCCTTGCGAGAAACTAACTTCGGTTTTTGTAGGCAGAGTTTTGCCTCAAAGTGAAGATGACGATATCTGTATCTAACTCCACTAGCGACAAATAGAATGTGATGCGCTTGTTCAACGGAAGGCACTAGATAACATCGACCTAAACCAGATGAGTCATCGATATGTCAGCGGCGTCTTACAAAATGAACCCTCGACTTACGCTCATTTGATCGATCGCTGCGAGAATGTTGATTGGTCAATTTTTTACATTAACAGTTTATATTATTAAAAACTGTTAAATCTACAATAGATTCAACAGTATTGCGCCGAATTACGTGGCTTATGGTAGTTCCGAGGAACTTAGCTGAGGCTGGTTTCGGTCGATGTTATTTAGTGTCGACACGCCACCAAATACTATTTAACATTGACCGAAACCAGGTTTCAGTGACAGAAGCTAAGAGGAGAATACAACGTTTTGCTGATAAGTATGTACTTTATTGGCATGTTAACTCGTTTAAAAGTAAAAATCGAAGTTTATACAAATAAGGCTTGCAAATAATACATGTAAATAAAAGGGTAGGAAAAATAAGCTAATAGCTTACTTGCAATCGGGGGGGGGGGAACTTCCATATTAAAGGAGCGGAGATGCTCTAAAGGAGACCAATCTGGGCGTGGCCCAACCCTAAAAGTGATCATTTTGAACTTTGATCACATGACTCGAGTAAATAAAACAAATTGAAAACTATACAATTGTTTTAATATTTCTTCAAGTGCAACCCTTAAAGAGACCTCTGTGGCTAAATATGATGGTGTTTAGCCCAGAACACCCTAAGCGAGACCAAAATCTGCAATTTACACCCCTAAGCGAGACGATGAGCATCCCTGCCCTTTTATATGAGAGTCCTCCCCCCCTCTTGGGCTTGCAGATTTAGATTATGCTTAGTATAAAGGACAATGTGTGGAGGCGCGGTGGCCTCATGGTTAGAGTGCTATTGAAAAGGAGTTTAATTCTTTCTTTTAAATGTTATTTTTTTTTTAATGACACAGTTAATGCAAAAATTTTTATGCAAAAATGATCAGGAACATTCTCCTGAAACAGTTATGATAATATCTAATTGATTAGAAAAATATTACCAACCTACTTGATTTCCTGTCTGGAATTTTTGAAAAGGAAAATGAACTATAAAAGTGTGTAAGAAGTACCAGTAAGTGGATGGGATGGGTATGTTAAGAGAATTCAGGGTCCTGCTCTGTCGCTTTCGAATAAGGATCGAAAGCGACTGAGAATAGAGATGCCCACGATGTATGGGCTGTTTCTTCTCCCACCATTGTCCTTCTCAGAGAACAATTCTCTCAGAAAATTTTATATTTCGCGGCAAATGTTAACACCTGATTGTTTAAGTAGAACTTTACTAATAATTTTCCGAACTTTTTAAACTTTTTAAGCTGAAGGTCGAAAAAGCTGAAATACAACTGTTTGAGACTCTAAGGACAGCAATAAACACACGTGCTCAATTTATTTTATTTAGGTTTTTTAAAATTTTAATTTTTTTTTTTTTAATTTTTTTTTTCAGAACTACTGCAGAGATCCGGTTCGGTTTCGGTCGATGTTAGATAGTATTTGGTGGCGTGTCGACACTAAATAACATCGACCGAAACCAGCCTCAGCCGAAGTTCCTCGGAACGACCATAAGCCACGTAATTCGGGGCAATACTGCTGAATCTATAGTAGATATTTTTAGTAATATAAACTGTTAATGTCAAAAATTGATCCTTTTTAAACTCAAATCAACATTCTCGCAGCGATCGATCAAATGAGCGGAAGTCGAGGGTTCATTTTGTAAGACACCGCTGACATATCGATGACTCATCTGGTTTAGGTCGATGTTATCTAGTGCCTTCCTTGTTCAACGAAGCATGAGAGAAATCCTGTACATGTTAAACAAGTTGCCATAGTAACGAGCTGACGTTACTGTTCATTCAAAGTCACGCAATCACGCAATCAGTTAAAGACCATATGGTGCGATCTGCTGTTGATATCAAATAATAGTGAGATCTTTTACTTTAGCAAAATGGTTGCCAATGCTGATATTCTTATTTCTAAGTGTTCTCAGTTTCGAAACGAAAGTCAATTTATCGAAGTTGGTGAAGATATCTTTCCAGCTCATTGCGTCGTGTTGGCTACGAATGATGATTATTTCTACGCCATGTTTACAAGTGGCCGGGAATGAAGGAGTCTAACCAGGAGCTGATCGAGCTGAAAGACAAAAACTTTAAGTCAAACGCTTTAAAGATCATTTTAGACTCCATCTACAATGGAGATCTTCATGTCACCGAGGAAAACGTGTTTGAGGTACTTGCTGCAGCAGGTCATCTTCACTGAAGTTGCAACTGTTCTTCAACAGTGTTGTGATTTCCTAGAGAAAGCATTCGTTCAGCTCCGACTTGACATGTAAAATTACTGCCTGGTCTGCACCATTGCTGATAGACACGGCCTTAAAGATCTGCAAGAAACAGCCGAGTGCAAGATGGCATCATATCTGCGAAAGCGACGAATTCTTATCGATTACAGACACAGACCAATTAGTTACCCTTTTCAGCCGAGATGACCTCAATGCACTGACTGAGACGTTCGTCTTCAAATCAGTGATGCAGTGGATTAAACACAAGAAAGAAGAGAGGTTGGCACTCGCAGCCAAAGTTATTGGAGCTGTTCGTCTAGGACTGGTGGACATCAGAGTTGTGATTGAAGAACTGAATACAGAAGAGATGCAGAGAGATCCCGAGATTCACAAACAAGTGTATGAAGCATTAGTCCATAACAACATGCCCTCTGCTTTCTCCGCGTTTGCAGAGAAAAGAACTAAACCTAGATCAACAAGTCAAGTAAGTATATGGTTTTTTTTTCACTGATTCTCATTCAAAATAACCAGCTTCGTTGTAGAACATACTGAACAACTCACGATCGCTTTACATAAATATCTATATATTATCAGCTCACTTTTATTCATTAAGTAATTGATATACCATAACTGTAAGAACATGGCCGTACCCGAACTGGGTAGTTCTTTTAAAGCAAAGAAAATGATACACTGCCCAAATTATCAAAGTAAAAAGGGTCTGTTTTTTTTTCTTTATAGAGATCTAGCTTATGTCAAGCTCTTGGTTGGTGGGAGAAGAAAAAAAAAAAAAAAATTCGGGTGACCGACGGGCAATGAATTGAGAAAGTCTGTGCCGGGGAATGACTAAGTTTCTTTGGTCCCCTTTCTTGATCGTCACTACCAACAGAGGGCCGGGCCAGTGTCGAAGATTTGATTGATGATGTTCATCTTTCATTCAGGTTCTCATTGCAATTCTTCCCAATGCTCAAACGAAGTATTTTGA